GTTGATTTGCATTATTATAATTGAAAATTTTCATGGAGATCTTGACATTCACAAGTGCCACAAACCACGTGTGGCATTACTAAAAAATTAGACGGCAGAAATGTTTTATTATCATCTTATTTAAATATTTATTCCAGGTATCTCAAAAATGTATCTTCTATAGTGTGAATTCGTAGAGTTAAAAGTGAAATTTCGCAAATAAGTTAACCGCAGAATAATGTCTGTTCTTAGAAGAGGGACGGCATGAGATGTGCCTCTTAAAACGTGATAAAAAGCAACGAAAGTTATTATTTTTCTCACGCAAAATTTTTGAATCACACTTCGTTCAGATTGTGTGTTGAAGGAATCCAACACAGGCAAAGGCTTTTATATGAAAATCATTGTGAGATTTCGATAAATTTCTCAGCTAGAATTCCTCTTAATTATGTTGTTTATTTCTTGTGAATTTTACGATTTTTTCTCTCACGTCTATTTGCCGATTTATTCATTCGTCCCCTGGCAATCGTGTGTGCTGATAATTATTGATAGACGCGCGAATTTATATGTCGGTGCTTTTTTTCGTTGATTTTCCATCTCTTCACACATCAATAGAAGATGGAGAGACACTTAAAAATTCATACAACCTGAAATTCGTCCTTGGCATTGTTCAATGTACACTTCTCGGGTGTGGATTTGATTCTTCGTCTGATGGAGCGCCACGAAAAGAACACTCTCTTGATGATGGGAGGCGGCAAAGAGGAGATTTATGAATTGATTTAATTAGAGAGACCGGCTTGTCTTCAACTCCTAATCGTTGTTTGTGAGCTCCAGGTTTTTTTAATGGCTTGATTGAAGTGAGTCTGCAAAAATCATAATATGCTGATTTTTTCCCCATATAGCGCTCATTAGGAAGAGTTTTCCAGGGCGCAAAAATGTAATTGGGTTTAATCAGTTGACATAGTGTTAGAGATCATGAAAAAGCTGAGAGTGTGAATTATAGCGGAGTGGAAAATTTCTGGGAGGAAGTGATTCTAATGGTTTGTTCTCGTTGGTTTTTCCTAACAAGACGCGATAGAGTTTAGTAGAGAAGTTGGTTCGTTGACTCTTGGGGACACATTTTTCCCTCTCAACTTGTCTAATGCGCATTAGAATTGGAGGACTGTGAGATATAGGGGAAGAGTAACTATAATGTAGTCCACGAGCAACTCTATTATTTGTATTTTTCTATTCACATCATCTGTATAATTTATTACTCATGGGAATTCGATGAATATGATTTAGGAAAAAACTCACAGATCATGAGATTGATATCTATGTATGGGTTTTCCATTAAATATGACAAAGTGTATTTTAATTAATATTTAATTCAAGGAAATTATCTAAACATTTTATGCTTTATCTTTTTTCTGACTGTAAAAATTTCTTCGCTGTAGCTATACTGAACAGAAGTGAATTTCGCAATTTCTGAAATTCTACAGTTTTTCTGGCCATAGGATATTTATATACTTTTGGAATTCTAAATAAATACCGATACAATATTTGAATTTGCACTCATTTGATTCAATTCCTGCGCTCACGATTTAATGTGACAATTAATGAGATATTTCTCATTCTTCCCTTCTTGTTTTTTCTCACGGGTAATAAAACGACAGAAGGTGGCAATCAAATACTCAGTATAATTATCTCATTAAGTGCATTTATTTTCACGTCCGACACTTGTGGCAGTTTTTTCCCTCTCATTCATTGTTTTCAATGAATTTTTCATTCATTGCACACAAAATGTTGCCGAGGGCAATTTTATGATTACACGTTTCGCATGACATTCAGGTATGTGCAGCCTGAGCGGCTTAATGACCAATCAATCTAATCACTCAATTAGTCATCAAAATACCTGTAGTTTTCGCTCCATAAATTTGTAAATTCAATCATATTGCAGTACACTGAGATTTGTGCTATGATGAAGCAAATAATATTCTTTCTACACTCTGCGAAGTAGATAATAACATTAAATGAAAAGATTAGGAGTTTCCGGTTGCAATTATTGTGTGTGAAGAGAGTCAAAATGAAGAGATGATAATTTTTTGCCAATTCTTTTTTGTCTTGTAATTCATACACACAATGCGAGTGTCAAATTGATACTTTCATGGAGAGACGATGATAAATTGCATCACAGTTTATGTTGTACATTTGGGATGATAATGAGTTCAAAAATGATGTCTTATCGCGACATTTTGTATGAATGGATTCACGCAAATGTGCGGCTTTTTCAACATAACACTCGATGAGTGCTTATTAGAAAAAAAGAATATTGTTCTCAATTACGCAATTCACTTCTTGGCGCGCATATCACTCATTATGAACGCTATCGACAAAGTGTTATTGTTGTGACTCCTGTTGATTTTTGGCCTCCCAAATTGACCATTAGGCGTTGGCCTCTCGAAGAAAATTCCCACGAAATGATGATCTTCTGACTGTGCTGTACTCGATTTCTTCTTCTCTTGAAGCAACTCTCATTGACTCTGAAATACGCACGATCATTTTTTGACGCGATCTTGTTTTATTTACTGACTGATAACAGACTTCATGCACAATCGCTAGAAAAAAATATCAAGAGATTATTTCCAGTGCATGTGTAATTTTCCTCTCTAATGTCTTAATTATGAGAAATTGCGATGAAAATGAAATTCTTTTTGCCTCTGTTGGATTTCGAGGGGTTTTGAGTACTCAAATCAGAGAAAATTATTGCATAACATTGTGACGATTATATGACATTTGGATACAAGTTCAAAAAGCAATGTCTGGAATTTCGTCTGCTATCTTGTGTTGTGAGATAAGAAAGAAAAAAAAAGAATGTGAAAAGAGAGAATAGGGAAAAGTCATTCAGTATTTGCAATCTCCCCAATTTATATGGCATGATTTTGTCAATGACTTTTTTTGCTTTCTGCTACAAGATTTGGAGTGTAGCTGAAAATTGCACAAAGTATTACTTTTTCCAAACATACACGGACGCCAGAGTTATTATAGTAAATAATCAAATAATAATTATTGTGTGCTTGTCACATTTGACCTCTCAATAGTGCTGTGGAGATAAACTTGAGGAAGAAAAAATCATGCTCATACGTTATATGCAAATCTTGTGAGATTGATCGTCTATAAAGAGCCTAGAGTGATGTGAAAAGGGGGAAATTGAGAGAAACACGTGTTTTAAGAGGGCAGAGGCGGAGGCAAGTAAACAATGGGGTGTGTGTGGAGCAAAACAAGAATAAAATACTTTCAATTTCAGCAGAAAATCTATTTGTTCTGCGAATACTTCTTGATTGACATGATTCATTGCACTTTTGCGGTGATGAGACGTAAATGAGCTTTCTTGATAGCAATGCACTTAAACTAAAGTGTCTCTCGACATAGCTTCACTTGCACTTTTTGTCTATAACTAAGCTCCACGAAATGTCGAGTGCGAATAATGAAATGTTATTGAACTTGTCTGGCTGGCGTAATGTCCTTTGACTGATGCGCTTATTTGTCTGATTCACAGTTTCTCTATATATATAAAGTGCATATTTCACCCGCGGTACGGAGACATCAATAGATGCTTAGCGCCAATTGCGAGCACCTAGCGACAAGCGCCTGGGTGCGTGGAAAGTTTCAGCACAGCCTCGCGAAAAAACACATTTCACAAGTATAGATAATGGCATATTCGTGTGCATGCGACGAGTCAATAACATTTGAAATGTCTCAAAATGCTATTTCCTTCGATAATACCGCTGAATACACTTGAATATTCTTGTGCATTCTGCCGAAAGCAATCGAATTTCTTGTTATTTTTTTGGCTTTACGCATTATTCATAGTTTAGGGGTCAAGATTGCCACTATTTTCCAGGGTCATGGTGAACTTTCTTTCTCAATCATCAAAACACACACACAAATATTCCTCCATAGCATAAATATTTACACAAATTATCTTGCATCCCATTGAGAAATGCTGAACTTTAGCCATTTATGTGGGAGAATGAAGTGAATGAGACATAAATGCATGATGAAGAGTGCATTCGGAATTTCATGTGGTGCTAAAAATAAATTTGTGATTGACGAGTGATCGATGAACGTCTCGTTTTCGGTTGGAAGAAGTGGGAAAGTAGGTAAAGAAATCGCACGCAACTTCCCGAGTGGCGGGGTGAGTTTCATGCGATTTATCAATCTCACTGCAAAAGATCGCTAGATTTTTGGGACTTAAGTGGGGTATTCTACAATGCTGATTGCTGTCCGCGCGTTCGCATTTATGCAAAGTGATCGAGTATCCACCCCAGATGAGTGATAAAATTCGTAGCATTTTCCGCGGCACGATCCACGATCGCAATGAAGGGGGCCAAGTGATATGATGTGTGTTTATGTGTAAATAGTGTGCTGTGGGGTGGGGAGGTGGCATCGCTGATGACGACGACAGATGGGGAGGCCTACTTTCCATAAAATCATCTCTCTGATCGCTGGGCATGAGATGGTGTGTGGATTTGGAGGAAAAAAGAGCCAAACGATCGCTCCAGTATGAGTTTTGACGCGCGACTGATCAGTTATTTATCAGTGCTCGGGAAGGGGCATCTCTTTCTCGCCACCACATCTCTCGCCATTGGCGATGTTCCGCGCTCGACGCGGTGTGTCCACTCTCTAGGCGCTGAAGCCGTGCTGTTGTATATAGTGAAAAGTTGTCTATATGTTTGAGATAACAAGTGGAAAAAGATCAATGGAGTCGGAATGTGGGAGAGCGAGTGAGATAGAGGGGCGCATGTAATGTTGGATGTTGGGATGAGTTTTGAAAAGGTTCCCAATAAATGCACAAAGTGATTGTGGGCATGTTGCGGTTGGTTGTATTGTGAGTGAGTGAGATGATGATCATTGGTGGCTGGCTTCCCAGCAAAAGGCGATCGTTCCATCTCAAAAAACCGATCGCCACGCGATTTCCCCACTCAAAAATCAACATTTCCAAAGAGGCTCAATTGTGTGGTGTGTGACGATCGCTCACAACATACATATACGATCTTTGGCTACTGCTTCTTGGCTGCTGCTTTGCTCTCTCGCGGAGTGCGCTCGAATTGTAGTATATAAATACCCCTCTACTGCTGGATTGAGACCCAGAGGCCGGCTGCTATAAAAGTCGCAAGGACATGTAGAGTCTCTATAGTGTCTGTTACATTTAACGTGAGAACGGACTGTTACTGCAACGCTTTTTTGCCATTCAACAACTCTTCTTTTGGTGACAAACACTCATTTTCGGTGGTTGATCATCTGCTTAGAGACAGAAATAAGATAGAAAAATTCAGCAGAGACTTGAAAAGTGCGCGAATATATTTTATTTTGAGCTGATTTTCGGTGAAGAAGAGGCTAAAGGAATATTCATTGCAAGTCTTCGTTCGTAGAAACTTTTCTTTGGACAAAATGTGGAGTGATTTGGACGTGAAGGAGGTGAGAAGTTGCCTCTATGTGTTCACAAGTGTTCTCCTGCTGGTGGTGTTGATTCAGTGGCTCCTCAAGTGCTACAGGGAGATCAAATTACTGCCACCGGGTCCATGGGGCATTCCCGTGATGGGCTATCTCGCCTTCCTGGGCCAGGAGAAGCACACGCAGTACATGGAGCTGGCGAAGAAATACGGCGGTGTGTTCAGTGCACGCCTCGGGACGCAATTGACCGTGGTTGTGAGTGACTACAAGGTGATTCGAGATACCTTCCGGAAGAAAGAGTACACCGGACGTCCTGATACACCCTTCATTCAAACTATGGATGGCTTTGGTAAGTATTCTCACAAGTGATATTCCCGCTCGCGTGTGAAATGGCAGATTAGATTAATTGGTGGGGTGTTTTTGCAGGAATTATCAACAGTGAGGGAAAATTATGGAGGGATCAGAGGAGATTTCTGCATGATAAGTTGAGGCAGCTGGGAGTGACGTACATGGGAAAGGGAAAGGATGTGATGGAGAAGAGGATCATGGTGAGTGCCTATATGGAGATGTGGCGGCAAAGTGTGTGAAATCATTGGTCTTGTCTATTTGGCAGACAGAGGTGAACGATTACTTATCAACGCTGTCAGCCTCCAATGGCGGATCAATTGACATGAGCCCGATCCTCGCAGTGGCAGTGAGCAATGTGATCTGCAACATAATGATGTCAGTGCGCTTCTCGCTGGACGACCCGAAATTCCAGCGCTTTACCTGGCTGATTGAGGAGGGCATGCGGTTGTTCGGTGAGATCACGACTGTGGATTACATCCCGACTGTGCAGTACTTGCCAGGGAATTTGAATGCCAAGAACAAGATCGCGAAGAATCGGAAGGAAATGTTTCAGTTCTACCGCGAGGTGATCGATGAGCACAAGAGTACATTCGATGCCAACAACATTCGTGACTTGGTCGACATGTACTTAGCTGAAATTGAGAAAGCCAAAGAAGAAGGTCGCAGTAGTGAACTATTTGAAGGCAAAGATCATGGTGAGTGTGTGTGTGAGTTACGCATTTACAATCTCACACGATATTTTATGTATAGTGTTGCCTTTTCCCATTGAGCAAAAAGTCAGCAGTTGTTTGCAATTGAGCGAGAGACACGAAATTCCTCCATTCATCTCGCAATTTCTCAATTGCATCGCGCTCACTTGTCACTTATATTTCTCTTTTCCCGTGTATCTCCACTTTTAGAGCAGCAAATTATGCAAGTGATCGGTGATCTGTTCTCGGCCGGGATGGAGACAATCAAGACAACACTGCTCTGGATCAATGTGTTCATGCTGAGGAATGAGCACGTGATGAGGCGCGTGCAGGAGGAGCTGGACCTTGTCGTAGGGCGCAGTCGATTGCCGCGGATCGAGGATCTGCCGTTTCTGCCGTACACGGAGAGCACGATTTTGGAGGCGATGCGGCGATCGAGCATCGTCCCACTGGCCACAACTCACTCACCTACAAGGTAATTTATACCCATGCCTGGCACACACCTTTCCGACAAACACACTGCATTATATACACATTTTTTGCCACATGCACGCCACAGTGTGCGTTACAACACCTTCAATGGTGACAGCCTTTTTTTCGCCACACCATCGCGAGATTTAACAGAGATCCGCTCTCGACACATGGAAAGGTCATTAAACTCGACGACGATTTAGATTTTCCTCTGCTGCTTTTCCCACACAATTATCGCCTCGGGATTGATTGCTCGTCTCTCTTTCGGGGAGGGAAGAGGGTGAAATTTGCAGGACAAAAACATGGTGTGAGAAATGGAAAAACAGACCTAGATTCCATATCGAGCCTCTGAAGTCACTGTGTGTGATAAGAGGCAATATCTCGTAGTGCATTACGTAAATGATGAGACAAACTAGTGAGAATCTATTTGACTCGGTGATCTCGTGTGATCCCGAAAGCTCAGAGAGCTCACAAATTGGGGGCTGATTACAGGCTATCCTGCTGCAGAGAGAGAGAGAGAGAGAGAGAGAGAGAGAGAGACTCGCGCTGTGGGGTTTATGATCACCGCGTGATACAATGTGCAACACTCTTGGCGCGTAACACAGTTCAATAAAATCTAGTGTAAACAGAGAGGAATTGAAGGTCGGCCAATATCACAGAAAATGCCCCCACTCATCGCCCATGAGTGTGTTATAAAAGGCGTACAATTGAAAAGATAATTGTCTAAATATGTGTGCAATGTCTTTTCGATAAATATGTGGTGGAATTTTATCTCTGTCTCGCTCGCATTCCGTGGCCGTCTCTATGTACTGTCGGATCCACACTGTTTTTATATAGTCATACTCCATCTGGTCATGTGATGGGAGGTGTGTAAAGGAGGAGAAATACAATGAAGCGCGATGTGCGCGCGCTCAAGATGCAAAAAAGCAATGTGCGGCCTGCGAGTGCAATTTTATGCAATAGCCATAAAATGTATGACAGCGTAATTGATGGTGTGTATTGATGCGCACAAGATCACACTCGGCGCGCCTCGTAACCTTTTCTTCCTATATTGGGATGCGCGCGATGACGAGACAGAGAGGCCAGTGCGTGTGATCAATGGAGAGCAAGAGAGAAGATAAAAATCCACGCGACAAATTCCTTAGGCGCGCACGAATAATATGTGCTGAGACACAGAAGAGGCGATCAGTTGATCATCGATCGCGTCACAGCGGCGATCTTCCGCGAGAAAAGGTGTGTGAGATGGTGTTGAGCGAGCCCCAAACTAACGGTGAGTCTTGTAAAACTCCCCATCATCCATCCACCACAGTCCACAGTATTGAGGCAGCGAGAGAGACTGGAGAAGAATACACTCTGCGCGGGCTGTGGTTGTGTTCTGGGAGCGCGTCGACACACGCGTTCTCCGCGCGATCCATTCAGTCCGGGCGAAAGTGAAAGCACTTCCAACACTGCTAAATGCACGCGGCCTTTTTTCCACACAACACACATGTGGCCTGGCGTTACTGTTAGGTCCGCTTTCTTCACACAATTCTTAGATGAGCGCTAGAATGAGAGAAAAAATGTCTCATGAGTTTCGTCTGCGAGGAAATTGATCGATCGTCCAAATGACCTTTCCGCCGGTGTCTCACGCGCGCGCACACGCTTGGGGAATCCCGCGCACATGGAAAACCGCCGCGTTTCGGCTCGCGGGCCATGATGAGGAGGATGATCGTCATTTCTTTTTTTCCCTCTTGTCTTTGCAGGGATGTCACGCTGAACGGCTACGTGATCCCGGCGGGGGCTCATGTGGTGCCGCTGATCAACAGTGTCCATATGGATCCCACTCTGTGGGAGAATCCCGAGGAGTTCAATCCCAATCGCTTCATCAATGCAGAGGGCAAGGTGCAGAGACCCGAGTACTTCATGCCCTTTGGCGTGGGCCGCCGAATGTGCCTTGGCGATGTTCTGGCCAGAATGGAATTGTTCCTCTTCTTCTCCTCCCTCATGCACACCTTCGATCTCAGGCTGCCCGAGGGCGAACCCATGCCGAGCCTCAAGGGCCAGGTAGGCGTCACGATCACGCCCAAGGCTTTCCGCGTGTGCCTCACGCCACGACCGCTGGCCGTGCCACAAGTCATCGTGAGTGATCCTGTCACGGGCACGCTGAGAAATGTAGGATCATATTGAGGATAATGGGGTAAAGTACGCAAGAGAGTACAAAAGGAATTTCTTTTCTTTTCTCTGTTTCATGGTGACACACACAAATCTAAACCCAACAACAGATCACTTCTCAGAAAATGCACACGATTTCGATGACCACTTTTGGCCAATAAAATGTGCTGAATCGAGCTGCAAAACAAAAGATAAAAGTTCCAGAGCACGGTTTCGGTTCCTATCTCTAATCTCAATGAAAGATCACACAAAAAAAAACAATCCAACATGCCACATATCTTCAACGAACAGGCAATGCAAGGTATCATTGCGAGTGCCTGGTGAAAAAGTACAGTACACGTCATAAAAATAGCATCCAGCTCATGTGAAATTTGTGTATATCTGCCGACACGACGCAAAAACAAGAGACGCAAACATAAGTAGATGAAGTACGAAAATACAAGATTCAATGCTAGTCATTGTGTGTAAGTGTGAGACGGAGAACGCCGAGAGAGCATGGAGAATGACATGGAATATCCTTCCCTCAGAGCGCAATAGTCACAGAAGAAGAGAAGAGAAAAAGCTAAATGATATCCACACACAGAATAAAAAAAAAAGAAAAACAAGAGAAAACCATGAGAATCTACATGAAGAAAATGCAGAAATGGGAGTCAGAAGTGAAAAATCCACCCCACAATGTGTTCAGTAACTCTAGCGACAAACTTATTTTGTGTACAACATTTTTTTTTAATTTATAAAACAAAAAGAGTTTTTCCGTAGATTTTAGGTGTTAGATCTTTAATTGTGCTATTTCATAGTGAATTATGTTTTAATCATTCCAGATGAATGCCAAATTGTGTTGACAACATTGTAGCATTCCTGACAATTTCTTTTATTATTTTTTATTGCATGAAAATTCACAATAAAAATATAATATACCAAAATGCCTTTCACTGTCAACACACAATGCCGTAAAACATGATAGATTGTGGAGTTCACAAATTAAATTTGGACAGGTAGTGTAATCGCGTGAATGACTGGGTTTAAAAACGACACGAACTATTTTGTCGCTAATTCAACATGAAAATGTGTCCTTGTTCTTATTTGCCCTGAAGACACCTCTGTTGTATAGTAAAGAGAGTAACAGAGTAAACTTGCCTTAAGTTGTTCGTCGGGTGACAGTAATTTTGTGAGCAGGCGGTGTCAAAGTTATTCCGCATGTTCCATTCAAGTTCACCTCATCAGCCAATGACAATTCGTAGTGATAGAGGAGGTTTCCTAGGACAAGAAACATAATCATCCTTGCTAGCTCCTCGCCTAAGCAGATTCTCTTCCCGGTCTGGAAAGGAATGAGATGCTGCGAAGCCCGGAAGATGCCATTCTCGTCAATGAAGCGCGAAGGAGAGAAGGAATCGGGATCGGTCCAAATGTGAGGGTTCATATGAACTGCCCATTGCAATGGCAAGATCATGGCTCCCTTGGGAATCCTGTAACCGTCAATTCTCGTCTCTTCCTTGGTTCCATGAGGAATTCCCACGGGCACCACTGATCGGATTCTTTGGCCTTCGGCAATGCACGCTCTCAAGTAGGGCAGATTGTCGTAGTGCTCCAACCTTGGAGGAGTTGTCAACTTCTTGGCCATTTCCTGAAATGTGAATTCAAATAGTATAACATTTCATATAACATTTGAAATGATAGATGAATACTTCATGGATATTTCTCTGTACAGCAGAATTTTTTGAGATGTAGAGAAGAATCCATCTAATGGTAGAAGTTGTTGTATCAAGTCCAGCCCCAAACAAATCAGCCAAAACATGTTTCAATTGTTGATCACTCCAGCACTTCTCATCATCATCACCAATTGGAGTGCTTTTCCTGGTCTTTTCTTGCAAATACAGTCCCAGAATGTTATCTTTTCGTCCTTCCTTGCATGCCTTTGCTATCAAATCACTGTAAATTGTGTGCGTCTTTGCCTTCCCTTCGAGCAGAAACTTTATCCTGCGCCTGAAGGTAGGAACATATCGCAGGAGAGGCAGAAAATTAACGCAGCCTGACACTCCTATGTGCTTCACGCCCTCCTCTTGGAGGTGCTGTAAATATCTCCAGGTCGAATCATCGCTCGAGTACTTGATGCCAAAGATCAAGTCATTCAAGATATTCCCCAAATGGTGATGCAGAATCGGCATCAAGTCCATCTCACGCCCAATAAGTCCATCCATTTCCTGTCCAGACAAACACTTACTTGGAATTTCTGCCTCATTTTGGCATGTTTGTGAGAGAAAAAAAAAGTCAATTGCGACTCACCATTATCATTCCGTTGACACCATTGACGATTCTAGTCTCGAGACTGTTCCGATTCTCATTGTATTTCGACATGCCGAGCATTTTGAGCCAATTAATGGCCATTTTGCGATGCTCTCGCCACAAATTGCCCTCAGAGCAGATGAGACCTGTTGGGGAGGAAGAATGACTAATCAGGAGAGTGGGAAGATTCACCAAAAAGCGCTCATCATTGATTTCTAAGAAGCGCCCACGGGAAGATGATCATTGAACACAGGAAAAATACCAAGAATGTGAATCACTCAATTCCCTTCTCCCATTCATACGTGCCAACTATCACGCTTCTTCTATGGTATCTTCCTTCGCGTTCGGAATGTGCTCATGACGTCAAAGAATTCCACAGAAAGAGCATTAACATCCTGCCGTCTAGACTCGTGAGATTTTGCTTCGGTCTCTTGCAAGGGAATAAAGACGTGCCCCGGGGTTTCTCGCCTAATTGAGCGCTTAAGTCTTTCATGTGCACACTCACCATAACCACCCATAATGCCGTGAGTGAGGTACAAGGGTGCTCTTCCAGTGAACTCATCTCGGCGCAGAACGTCGCGAATGAGCGTCGAATCGGCCAGAACCACCGTGTAAATTGACCCCAAATGCAAACCAAAGATCTTTCCGTACTTCTCAGACATCTTCGTGAGGCTGACATGCGGCTTTTGGCTGTCGAGGGCGAGCAGAGAGCCCACAATTGGGAATCCCCACGGCCCAGGTGGAATGTCTCTCTGCTGAAACAGTCTCACCAGCATTAGGAGGATGAAAATGACAAAAATCGCGGTGAGAATCTGAAAAGATTCAGCCTTATAAAACGCTTTATCCAGTGGGATTTTCAATTGATCTTACAGTGATCATGTTCAGTTCCACCGCCGGACACTCGATTCAAGATAACCACTCGCGGAAGCACTCGAAATCCGACTGAGGAAAGATGAACTGTATCTACTTTGTGCAGGCCGAGGATATAAGAAGGTGCTGAGATACTGATATACAATCTATCGCATGCTTTTTTGTCCACATCCAACACACTTGAGTTCATTTTACTATCAAATTTCAATTGTAATATTTACTTATGCGCATGCTATTGGGACGATGAAACGCTCTTCCTGAGCATCTGAAAGGCAAATAGTTACTTGGCTCTGTCGATATCACGTCTCCTCGCTTTCTGTTATTTGTTGACGGTTTTTTCGCAGTTGACAAAGGGGGAGTAATATGGATGAAATCTGTACAGTAATTTGCAGGATCTTAGTTACCACTTCCTCTTCTACTTATTTTCGTGACTTTTTTTTCTTTGTCTTGTACTGAATTTACTGCCTTGCTTTGAGTGCTGAAGTCTAGTAACACTTCCCATTAAATGTCCACCACTTTCGAGCACATTTCTCCCCCTTGACTGTAACGATGTGATGGTGTTTTCACAAAGTTGGCCGATAAATGTGTTATCGCGTCATTGATATCATGATTCCTCTTTTGGCGGAAAAATTGCACGCCTATGGGGAAATAAATTCCGCAGAGTCGATAGCAATCTTATGCTCTCTCGTATAATGACCGCAACGATGTGTTATAAAGCCCCTTTTGCAGTAGAGACGCAGTCACAGATACAGCTGCGCTCTTAGTCCCCCTAAGATGTTTTCCTTCTTGCACACTTTAATTTTCATCTACACAACTCCACATAATTGCAATGGTAACCAACACGCGACTCTGGCCATTGACCGTATTGATATTTTGTTTACATTATTTCATCGTCAACTTTCTCAACTGCGCGCTCTGGACAATCTCTGATCAACGCCCAGCACTTTTTTCGGCAATCTTTTTGCTCAGTATGCAAGAGAATCACGCTGAGGCCCGCGAGTGATGCATGAAATTGTCCCAATTGCATTTAATGCTCTCTGCCTCTCAATATTTTTATGTGAGCACTTCCACGCCTTTCCGCTTCAGTGTTTTTGCATGTTGGCCCAGAGATCGTGAAATAAATTTCAATGAATATAGGCTTCTTCTCGGACAGCAGCTCCTGTTGTGTAAAAGACACATTTTCCTTATCATGTACAGAAAGATAATCTTTGTACTCGCGCAGCTGCTCTCTCTTCCCCGCGATCCGCGTGTAATTCTTTGGGTATTGTTCGCAATGGACAAAAAATGGATTCTTTCTTTTGTGCGAAAAATAAATGAGCCAGACTGAAAGTCTTTCACTGGGTTGAGCGGCCAAAGTACACACATACACACAAGGAATGAGTTAATTTAAAAATGTGAATTAAGAACATACTTTACGATCTGTTTTATTGCCACTGGTGAAGAGAGCCCGAAAAAAGGCAGATGAAGAAAGGGCCATTGACCAAAAGTAGGGTAAATGAATTTCCTTTTTAGTCAAGTTACAATTTTTCGTCTCTTCATTTATTGTTATTATTATTATCCGTGCGTCTTTGGACATGTAGAATGGGCGGCCTTTTGAAATAAGGAGAGAAACCAGAGTGAAAATAAAATAAAATTGGCGGAAATTGTCGTGCAATTGAAGCAGCTTCGCGGCGTTGCAATGTTGTTGAAAAGCTCTTTCTCTGCATAACTTTTTTTTCCACCTTCCTCATATACTCACTTATACGTTATTTTCATTTAAATGATTTTCACGTATTGCTCTAGAAAGATGCCAAAGAATTGATTAAGTGTAACATAAATTATCTGCATATTTATGTTGGTCATCTCTTGTAACCTTTTTTCCTCTCCTTGCAACATTTCAACATTAAATTCTTTCACTTTGCACACAACATCGCGTATGGAAATAAAGTGGTGATTCATCACTTGTGGCTCCTTCTGCACCTCCGATCGCGCAGTGAGTGAGAAAATGATGTGAAATGAAATTTCTCCTTACGCTCGTTCTTCGTTCCGGTCAATTGGCTTAGCAGAGCATATTGTAGGACATTTTCTAGAAAGCCAATGATATCCGAAGAATACTTCTAAATCTAAATAGTGTGCTTTTGGAAATATATTTTCTAAAATTGTGTGAATCTTTCCCCTCTTTTTATTCTCTCTCTCTCTCCTTCTCTCTCTCTCTCTCTCTCTCTCTCGTCAATTTGTTGTTGATGTACAAGAAACCACAGCGACTCACTGACCTGTTTTTCCTTTAGCAATATTGATCGTTTTGTTCTCGCTGAAAAACATAAAAGAGTTTCTTGTCATAATCGCTCACTCCTTCCTCAGCGTTCTTCTTTGGTTATTGAGTGTAGGGATGAGAGGGGCAGTTCAGCCACAAACTGCAAACTCTTGTTTGTTTGAATTTATTTTACTAGATATTTACCAATTCTGCCTCGCGGTTCTCTCTGTGTAATTCATCATTTTTATGCAAATTGAATACTTCAAAAATCATGACAGGTTGTCTTTCTTCCAAATACCGCTCTTGTTCACGCTAAAATCGTCAAAAGATGTGATTACTTGGCGACAAAGTTCCCATTTGACTAATGTGTTAAGCTTGACATGTATATTTATACTCGATTCTTTTCTATGCTGTATATCGCGTGGATTTAATGTCCTGTCGCGGTTGTAATTTAAATTGATTTTTTCGTCTAGACATTGTGTTGTGCGAAAATATTGGGGGTCCCAAAATAACCGAAAACCACAAGATTACACTTTTTTTTTGAGAAACCGGAGTTTTGGAGTCTGTCTCTCGGGAGCGCACTGGAATAATAAAAATTTATTACATCTCCAAAAGTGGTTTTTGGCCGGCCAATAAATTTTCAGGCATTGGGTTACACATTTCGCCCGGAGTCTGGAGACTCACAAATGCTCACAGTCGTCGCCTCGTAGATTAATCTTCTGGTCTGACCGCGTCCAGGTGGAGGAATCGCAGCTCTATATTTCTGTGGTCTCTTTTTTTAGTGGGTAAATCCATGACCAAATCGACCGAAAGTGTGTCTCCATTGGTGAAGCATAATATTTACACATTGATTTCTTTATCGACTTGGTGGAGATGGGAAAAAAGATGGTTAATTTATAGATATAACCTGGAGAGAGACCGATATTGAAGTCATTTTTGCCACCGCCGTGGTAATTTATGCGCACGAGGTGCAAAAAAGATTCGTTTGGGTGATTAGAAAAGTGGCGGGAATAAATGTGTAGACAAAACTTAGTCTGAGGTTGATGAACTCCAATTACGAAATGTCTCCAATATTGCCTACCAAAACCATCTAACATTCTTCGGTGTGTCGCTCGAGTCCATTTGCAATGCGCTGGAGTGATTTGTACGCGGGATTTCCCGGCGATTGACGACTCTGGGCGGGTGAAAATGCGCGCATTAGTGGTAGAGTTCGTGAGGGAAGCGGATGCAGATGGGCGGCTTAATGCGCGGCGACGTCATCCGAAGTGACGGTGACGTAAATTGAAGTTGAATCGCCGAGGAGATCGGATGCGGTGAAGAGGCACATAGACCTAGTTAGAGTGGCAGAACGATAATTTAGCGTGTATGGATGGTTTTCGAAGAAAAACATGTCCTCAGCACTAATCTCATGCTATTTGATACACTGTATGTACAGCAATTCCCTCCCATAGAGAGACGGTGTGGAATGTGTAATATGTGTATTTAACATATTAATTCTATCACACAGCCATACGGCTCGGCAACACACACCTATATTTCTTTCTGCAAAGTGCAAGTCAGTTCATTGACTTCATTTCAGTTTGACGTCTTAAATTTTTCGTTTCATTCAAACTGATCACTTATGCAATCAATGAGAGACTCAATCGTGTCTTTGAACACTCAATGCCCACTAAACACAAGTGTTTTATCGATAAAAAGTCACCATTATTCCCATTTCGATGGTAGAATTTTGATATTAGACATTTTTTGTCATCACACAGCAGTTTATGGATGCCACGAGATGATGATGAGAGAGAGAGAGAGACGAGATCTGCAATCAGATATAATGTGTACACTTGGTGTGGAAATGTTGAAAGAACTCTATAGTCAATTCTTACTACGCACTTGCAATTTTTCCAGCACAGATCTTGCTCAACTGGTTAAGATTTAGAGACAAGAAATTCTGACATAAATTACTTTGTTCTAGAATTTGTTTTACAAAATACAATATTAGTCAATCGGAGATTATGCATGGATTTTGCATTCTGTGCGAGAGATGGAGAGCTCTTTGCAGGAGGAAACATTGTTGTTTCTGTAGGAGGAGAACGATAAACAAATACCCCTTAAGAACCGCGATAGTAATTGAAAAAAAAATGAGGGTCAAAGTGGAAATGTGATAAAATTCCATCAGCTTTGTGCACAGCGGAGATTTGTGTGTGTGTATTTCACAAACATCAATTAGTTATTCAAAATTAGTTGCATGAAATAATAATGGAAAACCCAAATGGAGCCGGTATTATGTTTGTTCGTGATATGAATTGCAGGTGGAGTCAAGAAACTCGCTAAAATGTGTGTTCATCAAATCACAATTCGGTCAGTAATGCCGCACCGTGAGATTCTTCAATTGTCCGCGAGATTACTTATTCCACACGGTGAGGCATTACATCTCACTGTCCTCTCTTGTCAAATATTGGTCATTGTTGGAAGGGAGAGAGAAAGAAGGCGTGCAGAAGGCAAAAAAGTCACGAGATATCGCTGAATAATCTTGAGATGAGGATCCATGTGGTGAAGAGAGAGAAAGAAAATGTGACAAGAGTTTGTAAAAGAAGGTAAAAGAAAAAAGTCGTCACTCCAGAAGAGAAAAACGGGCGAAGAAGTTCAGTAGCCAACACAGAATCCGCCACATTTTGCGCGATCTTTCACCGTGGTCTGGGCAAGAAAGGCATTCTCTCTGGCATTTTTGTACGCATAAACAACACACACAAACGCCAAGTCCAATTCCCAGCCGCGCATTGT